TGCGAACGAATCAGCGCGCGACACGTGTCCAGATCTAATAGCTTAAAAAAACGCGGTGGCATTTGCGTAAATAATTGAACATCAAAGTGCAAGTAAAATCACTTACAAGTGCACCTATTTTCACCTATAAGTGCATGTAATTTTGCCTTGTTAACATTTACTTTCCGCAAACATTCATGCGTCTGGGTGTGCTTATAACTATAGGTGCAACTATTTATAACTATAGGTGCAACTACTTATAACTATAGGTGCACTTACTTTCACTTATAAAGTGCATGTAATTTTGTCTTGTTAACATTCATTGATCTGAGTTCAGCGAGTAGTAATACCCCTGAAAACCACCCGCAAACATTCATGCACTTAGGTGCAACTACTTATAACTATGTGTGCAACTACTTAGAACTATAGGTGCAACTACTTATAACTATAGGTGCACTTAGTATTGATGCTCAGTGTAAATTTTTACTTGCACCTATAATACATTTTACATGCGCTTGTAATACATTTTACTTGCACTTTGATGTTCAATTATTTACGAAAATGCCATCGCGCTTTTTTAAAAAAAATAAGTGTTTCTCATCCATTAGATATGGACACGTGGAGGGACAGAATCCATTCCTATTTCGCTCATGGACGAAGCATTCACACCTGAGTGTGATAGTATATATATATATATATATATATATATATATATATATATATATATATATATATATATATATATATATATATATATATATAGACAACATGTTAATTATATTCTATAAAATTAATTTAGATATAAGTTTCACTAACATACAAACATTGTCATTAAATGAATAAAATTTAAAATTTAAATATAATTGTTACAAAACATAAAATTCTAAATATTTTTCACCAATAAATTAATTTTTAACAATAATATATATATTATTAAATAATAATTATAGTAATGTAATTGGAAATTCTTAATGTGGTATTCTGATCCTAAGATGTATGAGTGAATGTGGGGGGATTTGCAATCACTATTGCGTGGAGCCGTGGAGCTTGGCCCACACAGTTATGTGAATCACGGTCCAAAAATATATAAAATATATTATTTTAATTTATAAAATACATTATTCTAACATATAAAGTATATTATTTTAATTCATAAAATATATTATTTTATCACAGAAATTTCATTATTTTAAAACATAAAGTACATTATAAATTATTCTAACTTATAAAATATATTATTTTAACACATAAAGTACATTGTTTTAACTCATAAAATACATTATCTTACCTCAAAAATTTTATTATTCTAACACATAAAGTACATTAATTTAAAATATAAAATATATTATTCTAATTCATAAAATACATTATTCTAACTCATAAAATATATTATTTTATTTTAAAATGTTTATTATTTTAACCCACGCACAAAATTAAAAAAAAAAAATCAAAACCACTTCATTTTAGAATCCACGTCATAATTTACCTGGGACTTGGGGAATTTCCCGTGTACTCCTAACTCCTTCGCATTTATATGAATTATACTAGTATTTTTTATGCGCGATGCGCAAAAAATAGGTGCCCAATATTAATACATTATATTAAAATTTTAAATTTATTTAGATTTTAGATATTTAAATTATTCTAAAAAATAATAATAATGTAAATCATTTTTATAAATTTGATATTTAATTATATTTATGTAATAATTAACATATAACTCAATATTTAATGTGTATATATTATTATTAATGAAGAAGATAAGAAAATATATGGTTGGTGCATGTGCATGGTAACAACAGTGGAAAAGATAACGGAAGTTATAACGGTAAGGGTATGTTTGTTCAAAATATTTTAATGTACAACCTTTAGAGCATAATGTACAAAAAAATTTGACAGAAAAAACGGACATAAATCATGAGTATAACTTTCATTCACATTTATTATGTTTTTAGATTTTAGATATTAATTAATAACTACAAATTATGGGAACGAACACGGAGGAGCAACGGCTAATTTCGGCGCGGCGGTTTCCAGTTGCGCCTTGGGTACGCGCTAACGCGCACTCGTAAGCTTCTTAGCTAAGATAAAGGAAACCCGACAGGCGACAACTATTTAATGAGACACTCTCTCCAGTCAGTCCAGTCAATACATATCCGATTCATCACGTTCTTGTGCTTGTGCTCCCTTTTCATTAATTATTAATAAATTTAACAAAATACGTGTTTTTTTTAAGTAACAAAATACGTGTTATCGTTGATGATCGGCAACCATCATCCATGTTGAACAATTGTGAATGCCTATCAAGCTATCTAGAAAAGAATAGGAGATCGTCATAGTTATCTTTAAAAAAGTTATATTAAGACAATAATTATTGTTAAAAAAGTCCGTCCATTGTTGAGGATTTTCTTGTTGGGAAAAACATGTACCTCCAATATGTGTGTATTGCGATAGTCAAGTCGCAATCAGAAGAATAAAGAGTAATATGTATAATGGTAAGTCTATACATATACGTCGTAGACATAATACCATTAAACAACTTCTCACATGCAGTGGATAATATAACGGATTTGCTTACCAAACGGTCGAGCAAAGAGGTTGTTGAGAAGTTGGCACGAGGGATGGGTTCAAAGCCCTTCAAATAAAAGTTTTATAGTGGACACCCAACCTAGTTGACACGTATAGATTCAATAGGACAACTAAATTGTCGAACGAAGCGTGTCACTGTGGTCTCAAACACCCTACCATTCCTCGTTAGAACAGTGACTCCCGTATGAGGTTAGCACGTTGATGCTTTAATGATTTGAATGTCGGTTGACATATGTGAGTATGTGGGATACTCGAAAAAGAATCACCTATATGAGAAAGAAGTGGGGCCGCTTTAAAGGAGAATTGATTGGGCTCAATTCTTTAGAAACTTTTGCAGAACTAGGAATGGTGACCCGACCCATGACCAAAACGGGCACACCCATGAGATCAGAACAAAGGTTGGAAGGTTCTCGTGTGGGATATGTCATCGTCTACACAAACGGTAGTACGGTTCGAAACCATCAAGTTCTACCGGACAGCTAGTAGAGTAAACATATCTTCACAAGACAAGGTTCAAAGAGTAACACCTACCTATGATATGCATGGATCAATTGTTGAGCACATTCGTGTTGTTTTTTTCACATCCTGAAAGTCTATTTTCATTCATATGGGGTATTGTTGGAAGTTTTAGCATAAAATGGCATTTTAAGTGGCTATTTTGTGATACAAATATATGTGGGTCGACTTTCGATTTGGGTCGAGTCAAAATTGATTTGCATTCTTCGTAGTGTGACGAAGAAATTGATATATTGTACGCTCAAAACGATAATGGGTGAATGAGAAATTTATTCTCAAAGTATACCCATTTGAGTTGGAAATGAATGTGGAAAGGCTTTGTAAAAAGCACTTATCTCATATTGGTTTGGGAAGTGGGTTTGCACCACTATATATACAAGAACCTTTTAGAATGAGATTGAATTGTGTAGCATAGAGACTTTTTTTCGCAAGTAGGGTGGGGAATGCAAATTAAATTCAAAATGAGCTATTTTGTTAACTATTCGGTTTGACCAAATAGTTGATGACCTTTTGTAATGTTTATGCAACTATTCGTGGGTCATTCTAGCAGTATTAATTCTGATCCGTAGGAATTAAAGTTGCACATTATGAGGGTTACATATATGATTTATTGCAGATGTTAATGTCATGTATTAATGCTATTAATTTCTACATCTCATATATAAGCTTTGGTGTTGGCTAGATTGTTTTGCTTGATGGTTTTTCACTAGTAAAACTTTGTTTTTCTCTCTACGTACCTCTCTCAACTCTCTTCTTATGAGAAAATTTTGCCCACATTTCCATAAAAAGACGGAGTGCTTGATCTTTATTCTAGTTTGCCGAGCTTTTAGTTTGAGGGCTCAAACTTAAACTTGTAATCCGTTTTGTTCTGGGAGACTAATGCTACAACGCTCTAACACCTTCGGAGGTAGCAAATTGAATTTTCCCATTCTTCTTGTTTCTTGTGTTGGGTTTAAATCTTAGATTTTAAAAACTCAATCTTTGTATTTATTTATTTTATATAAATAAATTCGAACTTTGATTTCGTACTAGGTTGGTGTTGGGATTATTTTTATAATAATTATAAATTCTATTATTTTCAAATTATATATATATATATATATATATATATATATATATATATATATATATATATATATATATATATATACACACACACACACACTGTTAGTAAAAATTGCGCCTAGGCGCTAGGCATCGATCGGCCAAAAACACATATAATATATTATTTTAACTCATAAAATAGATTATTCTAATATATAAAATACATTATTCTAATTCATAAAATAAATTATCTTACTCAGAAATTTCATTATTCTAAAATATAAAGTAAATTATACATTATTCTAACTCATAAAATATATTATTCTAACACATAAAGTACATTATCTTACTCCAAAAAATTTATTATTTTAACACATAAAGTATATTATTCTAACTCATAAAATACACTATTTTATTTCAAAATATTCACTATTTTAACACACGTACAGAATAAAAAATATTTAAAATATCAAAACAACATTATTTTAAACCCACACAATAATTTACCTGGGACTTGGGAGATTTCCCGTGTACTCCTTCGCATTTTTATGTTGTTCAGTGACCCAATTATATTTTTTTGAGTTTAATGACCTAATTGTATTTTTGTGTGTAATTCGATAGCCTATTTGATCCTTATTCCAAAAAATGATAATACAATATGTAACCCAAACATGGGGTCATGGCCCATGGGGGTAGTATAGACAATGTAGTGACCAAATTTCATGTAAAATACAGGGAAAGATGTAGCTGACAAAACACGGGCGGGGCGGAACGTGGCGTATGGCCCACTTTGACTCTACCTGGAAAAATTACCCCTTCTTTTCTTCCTATAAATAGCTCTCCTTTTTTCTCCTTCCCCAATAAATCTTCTAAAAAACAAACCTATATTAGTCAGTACTGAAATTCGAACGTTAGAGAAACACAAACAGCAGAGGCAGAGAGATGTCTTGTACCGTTGCGATCAGTTCACCCGTCTTTTCTTCTTCTCCGTCGAGACTCTCCGTCTCCTCGTCCCTCCTCTGCAAAGCCGCCGCGGCGGAGGCCCTAACCCGAACTCTCTCCCCTTCCTCAGCCGCCGCATCCTCGTTCTCGTCTTCTTCTTCTCCGTTATCGCCGTTACGCGTTCACCGCCTCTCCAAGCCGCCGCCCAGTGGATTAATCCAAACTTCTTCTGATTCTTCGCCTTCCTCCTCCACTTCGCCCACGGATTTGAAGCGCAAACGGCCGGCGAGGTTGAATATTCCAATTGTTCCGATGAGCTTCGGGAATATCATTCCGGCTACGCCATCGTCTGTTATGGAAGATCTGGTAGAGTTTGAGGGAGATAGCTACTCGGTGTGTTGTAAGCGTGGCAGGAGAGGAGGAGCTATGGAAGATCGCTACTCCGCTATGCTCAACCTTCATGGAGATTCTAAACAGGTATATATCTATATATCTATATCTATATATATGCTTATGTCGATCTATTTTTGTTTAATCTGATCGAGGTGATGTGATTTCAGGCTATTTTTGGAGTGTTTGATGGGCACGGAGGAGCGAAAGCTGCGGAGTATGCGGCACAAAACTTGAGTAAGAAGATATTGGATGAGATAGAAAAGAGCGAGAATGATGAGGAAATTAAGGAGGCGGTGAAACATGGTTACCTGAAAACAGACAGTGAATTCCTGGAACAAGATGTACGAGGTGGATCTTGCTGCGTTACAGCGTTGATCAGGAACGGCAACCTAGTTGTATCGAACGCCGGAGATTGTCGAGCTGTGTTGAGCAGAGGCGGAGTTGCGGAGGCGCTCACTTCCGATCATCGGCCTTCAAGGCCCGATGAAAAGGATCGAATTGAGGCATTGGTAAGCAAGCAATTTTGTTTCTGTTCGAAATTATACATTTATTTTAAGGAATAAGGTTCAAATTGGTCAATAACCTTAAAATACAATTAGGTCACTGAAAAAAATAATGCAATTAAACCATTGAACTGATTGATTGATCTTTTAATTTGGTGTAGGGTGGTTTTGTAGACTGTGGTCGCGGAGGAGTTTGGAGAATCCAAGGATCTCTGGCAGTCTCCAGAGGAATCGGAGACCGGTCTCTCAAACAATGGATAAGCGCAGAACCAGAAACAAGGATCCTCACCCTTGATTCTCAACTGGACTTCTTGATTCTTGCATCTGATGGCTTATGGGATAAGGTAATTTTAGTATTTCAACCTTTGATTTTAGCTTTGTTGAGCATATTCAATTATCAGCTTAGTCTTTTAATTGAGACGAAGCACATGTTTCAATTAGTTTAAACTAATGTTTTGATGATTATTGTACGTTCCTGATATGTTGTTTACGTTTGTTTACAGGTCAGTACACAGGAAGCAGTGGATGTTGCTCGAGCTTTCTGTAATAACGGCGTCGATAAGCCCCAACTCTTGTCGGGCTGCAAGAAACTCATTGATCTTTCTGTTTCCCGAGGTTCCATTGATGACGTGAGTGTGATGCTAATTCCATTGGGGAAATTTTGTTGATAGACAGACAGACAACCTAGGACGATTATTCTCAGTTTTCTCAACATGGACGACGATGATTCAACTTGGCTTCTGATTTCATCATTCTTTACAAATTCTTTTATTTATTATGTAAATTGACTAGCGTCTTCATTCTTGTACGTACTTTTATTATATATATTTAGATTTAGATTAACTTCCTTTTACACATGGTGGACATAATTGACTTCGAATTCTGGGCGGTGAAGATTTATACGTTGTAAATTTATCAGATCAGATACTGAAATTATGTGCATGCCTTTTGATTATGGATTCTACAATAATTTTTGTATTATTTATAAAATTTATTTGAAAATTAAAGCACTAATTACATAAAATATAACTATAAATTAACCGGTATAATTGTGCGCAGTGAGTACCGGTCTAGCCTCTATAGTTCATGTTCAGTTGAGTCACCATGATTTACATCCTCCCAAATGCTCTGTAGAGCCGGAGTGTGGGGGCCCTTAGGGTTGGGGTTAGCCTTTGAAAGAATGATATTTTTATGTTTATTTTTGGACTATATTAATTTTTATAATTCAAAATTTCAATAATCACAGCTTAACATAACTTGTGTTGATGATTTTAATTCAAACCACAAAAGAAAAGGGGTGTGTAAATAACTAAATATGATGATGGGAATTTACATCTCCATTGATTCCTAACGCGCTTTTTGTTGGATATTAATAGCCATGTCACATTTATGATTTGTGTGCCATATTTATCAACATAATAACTAATAATTAACTAATATTGGCATACTACGATGTTGATAGTGGAAACTTCTTGGAAATTGCCCAGCATAAAATGCCTTCTACTCTTTGCGTGTCTAAAATGAACATTCACACCATTAGTATACTAGACGTGTAATGGCGCAACCAAATTCTGTCTTCCATATCATAATATTCTAATGTGTTTTAAAATATTGACGTAATGGATGAGAAGTTTTGTTTAAAATTTATTTTTTGGAGTAGAGTGGAGGTTCAATTCTATCACAAATTTTGGGAGTTTAGGTTTAGGATGAGTTTTTTTATATTTAAAAGTGTACAATTTGATATCCTTTATATAATAAAGCTATATGGTTTGGGAAATAATTAATGTTACAATTAATGCCACAACATTCTTTATTATACAAAAAAAAAAAAAAAAAGCACAACATTTAAAAAAATAAAATAGCTATATATTATATAATCATATAAAAAATATACTTTTGAAAAATAAAATAGCTATATATTATATAATCATATAAAAAATGTGTTCAATTAGACCTTAAATTTACCCATACAAAATTTGAAATTTGATTTTCAAATGTAATTATCTTAGTTATTATTCGTATTGTGAAAATTATAATATAAATGAAATACAATTAAGAATAAATCAATGTAATTATGTAAATTCTCTAAGTTTATTTGAATATGCACATAATTAGAGATTATATTAACCATACAAAATTATAATTTTAATTTTAATGTTAATTTTAATTATAATTTTGTATTCTATAAAAATAATAAATACTTGACCAATGGAAGGTCAAAAATATTATTATATTAAATAATTTAAAATATTTTAATTTTTCTATTTTTTATTTATATTTATAATAACATAATTTTTTTCCGTGCATCGGCGAGTGAATTACTAGTTAAGTTATAAAATTAAATTAGCTCGATTTATCTTCTCATAGTCTAGGACAAGTTCATTGAGTAAAAGATATATTCCAATTAATTTGAAAATTTTGGGTTATTAAAAAAAAAAACTAGTGCAATAATATAAAGTGATCCTCTATGATGGGCCACACACCTCACGCAATCAAGTTACTACTATCTATGATGGGTTATATGAGGCTAAGGATTTTACAACCAAATTATATCATAAATCATGGTTTACTTTGTATTGTTAATCTTGATCCAATACGACATTTAAAAATGTACTTGTACATAGTTAATATATAGCAAATTTTACTGTAAATCATGATCTACACAGCTGTTTAGACCATGGTAAAAAATGGTGTCGTTTCTTTTAATAAAAAGAAAGGACACCCGTTCCTTGTAATTAGTTTTGTTTGTATAATATATTCAGTTTCATGAGATATGATCAAAATACAAAGTTGTCGCCAAATTTAGTGGGAATTAAAACTTTTTGGTCTTTTGCTCCATTTTTTCCTTGTTTTGTTCTTGTGATCAAATCAAATGAAAGTACCACTCTTTAACTCTCTTTGAAGCATTTTAGTCACCTCCTTAGCTTCACCTTGACTCCCATTGACTCAAGATTCACTCAAAATGCCCCGAAAATCATACGATTGTCTTCAAATCAACAATTTATGGACCTAAAGATATAAACAAATGAATTAAGGCAGATTTTGCATAAAACCAATTAAAGTATATTTCACTCAAAATAGGTCTATATATGAGGTCGAATCAGGGACATAAACACAGTTATCAAATTCCCCCACACAGTCTGAATTCTGCGTAGAATGAATAACTGGAGTTTACTTGACCCCAACTTTTATGTTTTCTATTGATTGTGATTGTGTTTTATTGTGTTTATTGATTGATGTTGGAGATTATAATTGAATTGTGTTATATATTGAACAGGGAGATAGTCTTATATACAAAGGAAACTCTGCCGATTTTTTTCTTACTTTAATAATTGCTTTTGTTTGTTAAATATAATTTGTAGGAAGGACAATTGGGTCATTGTCCATCGTATTATGAACTGTTCAGGCATACACATACCAAACAACACGATGGGCAAGCATTCATAGCTGAAAAAGCCAAACAAATTCATGTAAGTTTAATTTGTTTTAAGTTTTTAAAATATATATGCCTTTACATATATTTTGTACTAAATCTCTTACATATTTTAGGAACAAGTTGAATCACAACGGGAGATGTTGGCAGAAAATGGGGAGCAGGTGGATGACAATCAATTATACTATGACGCGGTTGGTGGACACGATAAGAAAAGAAGAGTTTATGGACTTGGTTCATATGGTTATTCTGCTGTTTATGGTCAAACTAATGATAACACTTCTGGCAATATGACACCAACATCGCGACCACCCGACAATGCTACTTCTACTTCTGCAAATGTACAACATGAAATTCAGAGTTTGAAGGAAACTATTCTCCTTATGCAACAACGACTTGATGCTATTGATGGCGGGAGAGCGGGTACTTCATCATCACTTCCATCTCAAATCAATTTATTTGTTCAAGCAAATAAATAAGTGTGGGGAGATTTGATAAACATTATTTTTAGTATTATTTTTAATGATATTTTTATAGTTAATTTTCAATAATTAATTAATTTATATATAGTTTTATTTATTATTTTGAATAAATAACTTTGTTAATATTATTCAATTTTAGGTTGTTTTTATTAAATTTATTTTATTATTTGAATTCTGTTAGTCTAATAATTTCTTGATCCTAATTTAATGATAATTATAATTTTAGTAGTACATATGTTCAGTAGGAGTTTAATAAATGTAGATTAGTTATATATGGTCTCTAATATTATTATTATTATTATTATTATTATTATTATTATTATTATTATTATTATTATTATTATTATTTGAGTTAATAAAATTGTTGTTAGCCGATTATTTTAGGGCCATGAAATAAACAATCTTTTTAATTCTTTCGGTCAATTGGCGAGGAGCGAGAAAGGCGCAGCAAACCAGAGCCAATATTCCGCAGATGAATTTTTATGGCAATCCGGTTGATCAGCGGGAGCTCAAGCGGAAGCTGTTGGATTTAGGCATTATAAATAGAAGAAAACTTGAGAATCAAGGACACCAATCTCACTCCGGACCAATTCCGGAGGCCATTTCGGAAACTTCGATTATCTTTCTAACTCGGCGGCAAACCTGATTCGGCATCTAAACTTTTGTTCATAGCTGTACGATTCGGCAGCAGCAGTTCCAATTTCCTTAATTTCATTCGGCAGTTTTTTTGGTTCTTTTTCTAGCTTCTTTAATTCTTCATGCACTTTGTTTAATTTAATTCTTTAATTTCTCAATTCACTTTATTTAATTGTTAATTCCTCAATTTCAATTTCAATTTGTTTACTTGTGAAAAGATTGTTTCAGTAGAGCTTCATTGCAGATTTAATGACAAATCTTAATCACAGTGGTTAATGCTAATTATTTTGCTAATTATAATGCTTAAAGATTAAGTATTTTGTTAATTGCAATGATCAATGATAATTGATTTATGTTCTAGTCTTTAATTTCTTCTTCCAAAAGACTGAACCCCAACCCTAACAGAGCGTTTGGTTGGAGGGATTTTAAATTCCCTTCCCACTTAATTCCCACCTAATTCCAAAGGCCATTAAATTCCGTAGTTTGGTTGGAGGGAATTGCAATTCCATGGAATTGCAATTCCTCCATTTTCATGGAATTAAAATCCCATGTCCCCCCTTGGTATTTTAATTCCTGGGAAAAAAAGATAGTGATGAGTCAAAATTACCCCTTCCTTTTTTAACCTAAAATTAATGTTTAACAACAATAATGGACAATTTTGACTTTATACTACTTATTCCCTTTCAATTCCCATGTATACCAAACATTGGAATTGAAATTCCCAGTAATTCTATTCCTATCAACCAAACACTGGAATTTAAATTCCCATTTTATTCCCAATAATTCAACTCCCATGGAATTACAATTTCTTTCCCACATAATTCCCTCCCTCCAACCAAACGCCCTGTAAAGGTCTAGTCTTTAATTTCTTGTTATTTTGTTCCGTAGTTATTCAAGTGTTTTTCCTGCCTTGCAATTTCATTTAGTTAATCCATGTTGATTGTCGTTTAGTTTAATCTATTTGTTATTATGCTTTCTGGTTTAATTTTATTGCCTACCTGAGTTTTATTGATCGTTATCTTTGACATTTGTTTATAGCACTTTAAATTATTAAGTTATTTATTTTTCAAGTTATTAAATTGCATCGTATCAATTCCCTGAGGGATCGACCCTTGCTATTGCACACTATAACTACATGACTCGTGCACTTGCGAGGACATATATAAAAATTGTCCATCAATTTTGGCGCCGTTGCCAGGGAATTGTTTAACTTGCAATTTAATTTTTTTGTTTTCTTTTCTTTCCGTTAATTGCTTGATTTTGTTCCTTATCCCTTCATTATTGTCATCTTCTTTATTTTTAATCTTGCATTTCATTTAAGTCTTTTCGTCCATTTAAAAACT